TCAATTATCAGTTATGGTATCTTTGATATAATTTTTATGCAAATTGAGACTAATCCTTTCCCTATCAATCTTACAGACTCACCTCTACTTACATAAGTTTGATGCATTCAAATAAATTAACTTCTTTAGATGTTGGTTCCAAAACTTAAAAGTCCTGAACCATAAACCTAATATAAATCGATTATTGCTTACTAGTAAATTCATCCTTGGTTTATAACAAGTTCAAATACTAGCAGAAACCGTAACCCACATTGACACATGATATTGATAATAATAGACATAGTTTTGGGACGAAATTTAGACCCTGCTTAAAAAAATAAAATAAAATAAAATAAAATTTAGGACGAAATAAACAAACAACATCACTTGATAAAGACCTGCCAAATAAACAAAACATGTTCTCGACATTGCACCAAAAATGTAATCCACATTGACACATGATATTGATGAAAAAAGACCTACATAGTTTTGGGACGACATTTAGGCCACATGGTCCAGAAACTTTTAACTCTTCATTCTATTAGATGAAAACATCAAAGAGCAGAATTTTGTCTTCTAATCTGTGGGACAAAAATTTGAAACTGTAACACTTAAGAATTGAGTTTGCAGCAATCAAGTCATGTGGATTCCTCGACAGACCTCTGCTTCTCAATTTTCTGCAGGAAAAATGTCAAATTTCAGTTAAAGAGCTCTTCATCATAAGCATTTTCACAGAAATACCGTCACACGGTATCATCAAATAAAAGACATCAGAACATATACATTAAGTAATCTTGAAGACTCAAGTAGAAGGGCTCTACAGCTTAAAGAGAAATCATAATAGATATATAAACTACTCTTGAATACTCAATTCATATGAGCAGTCCTGACCTCAGTTAAGAGAGTCCGATCACCAATTCATAAGTTTGCTATGCAGAGGTCCAGAGTACAGCAATTCACAATAGTAAAGTACCTGGACTCTTCATACATGCAAAAAACCATTTTTGTTTCTCCTCATTCAATCTTACTCTCCCACGTAGTTAAGTGAGAAAATCCCCATCCATTAATTAAAGACCTATGGACTTATAATTAAGATGGACCTCTCCACCACATTAGTTTCCTTTAGATGTGCTCTACCAAGTGCCAACTATCTAATATCTATGGGAGAAGGAAGAAGGTGACCCTAGTGGTGGTTGGTGGAGAGCAGGCTGGTCAGTGTTCATAAAGATAACGGATTCTCTCTTGCAACATGTTAGCTGCTAACACGAGGTGGTAGATTTTCTTGGGTTTGTTCTCTGCATTAGAAGGGGAAAAAGGAATCTTGATGGTTTCTCAAGGTTCAACATGAAGTCATAGAGTTTGGAAGAACAGAACCAAAACAAAGTTGTTGCTGTAGGAATTACTTATAGTTATCAAATTGTTTTTCTTGTGTACCATTAAAACCCTGGTCAAACAATAACAACTTATTTTAGGACTTTGTTAGAATAGGATAATGGATTCCATCCTAAGAATGTGCTTAATTCATAGGCTGATGAGGTAGAAAAGGCAGAGCAATGAGTATAACCTTCCACATGAACAGTTGGGTGACCCCATAGAGATGAATCGTGACGCTCTTCACTAGATTATGGTTAAATTGACCCTAATGGGAACCCGAGATCAGGTGTCCTGATGTTGCAAAAATGGCAACTCAAAATGATTTCTCATGACAGAATAGTTGTTCATATTTGTATTCCTTTTCATTAAAAATTATAATCAAAAAGCGGGAAAACCTCTACCGTCTACAGATATCAATAAGCTTATCTTAATAGTATCTGTTCAACAGGTTCTTTCACCCAATTAAGAACACAAATACAATAAACAGATTCTTTCACAACTTTCTGCAACAAAAACAGCTACACAATTCAAGAATTTGAGAAGCATAAGCTACAAGAAGAAAAACCAACAAGAGCTTGGGTGAGTTGGTACCCACTAACTTAAAAACCTTGATTTCGGTCAAGGTCATTAAGTTGATTTATACAACTAGGGATATGGGGTTAGTATAAAAGTTATGCACAGAAACAGAATCCCTGAATTTGCATCAATCCAGTGGGGAAAATGAACTACATAATAGGGAAAACAGCATATCTACTACTGGAGACCTAAAGTACAAGTTAAAGCAGATGATTCCTATCC